CAAATTGACACCAAGTTTCACATTCACTTGTCTGATCTGGAAGTGAAACTGACATTTGGAGTGTCTGCTACTGCACAACCCAATATGGTAGCCACCAGTTACATGTAGGCTTTAAATTTAAATTAACATGAAATAAAATTCTAAACATTTAAACATTAAACAAGCAATTCAATTATTTGGTCTCACTAGTCACATTGCTAGTGCTCTATAACCACGTGTAGCTAGTGGCCACCATATTGAACAGCACTCACACGGAGCCCATCCATCACTGCAGAAAGTTCTCCTGGACAGCACTGGTTTAAGAAGTGTCATTATTACGCTGTACACCATTGTCCTGTGGTGTCTACTGATTCTCCAAAACAACCCTGAAGGGTTTCATTCCCATTTTGTGGATGAGGAAAGAGTCTCAGAAAAGTTAAGTGGCCCTCTGCTCACGTAGCGGCCATTGCAGAACCTGACAGATGGCCAGTGTCCAGCGGGTGTGCAGCCAAGCGAGGAAGTGGGAATCCCAGACTGGCTGACTGGGCAGCCCAAAAGTCCAACTAAAACAAGGTTCTGTTCTAGTAGTTGTGCATTTTGAAACCAAACATTTGTAAATTCTCCCTCCTGCTCAAATTTAATGACATATCTAAATTCTAAAATTACTCATAAGAAGAGAAAGTGTATTTTAGTTTAAAAGGACAAGATAAGTAAGTGGATGCCTGGGTTGAGTGACGGGATTGGAGAGTGGCTACAAATGGGTACAAGGTTTCTTTTGAGGTGACAGAAATATTCTAATATTAGACTGCTGTGAATTGTGTTTTGTAAATTTATTAAAATCATTGAGTTGTTCATTGAAAATGTGTGAATTTTATGGTATGTAAATTATACCTCAATAAAGCCATTTAAGAAAAACAAGATATAAATCCTAAAACTCTAGGACAACCAAAAATTTAATGTTGAAAAGCTGCCAAAAACTTTAATTAGTGAGTCAGAGATTAATTGCTGGCCTTTCCTAATTTCCCTCATGATGGTAAAAATAAAAATGATGCTCTGTCTCAAACCAAACACTGGGAAACTCTACAAGGTTCGTATTATTATTCTCATTTCACACAGCAGGAAATTGAGACTTGAGGTTAGAATAAGTTGCCACATATACACAGATAGTGAGAACTGGCAGTGCCAAGCCCCAAAATGCTGGCTGCAAAGCCCAGAGCCACCCGCCAGCCCCCAGCGTGTCCCTGCTCTCTCGGTGTGAGAAGAAACCCTTCCACTGTTTGACCTGAGATCACTTTCCGTCTTCTAGGACAGCAGTAAACTGATTCTCCCATGTTTCTATAAACTTTTCAAAAACTTTGCACTTAAGACAATTCATGAAGGGAATAGGCTGGAATCTGTTTTCAGTGTTAAATAAAAGGGAAAAGGAGAGTCTGGGCTGAATGTGAATGGAGAGATGTGAGTTTCTTTTGATGTTCACTAGGATACATTAGTTTATGGCTTTAAAAATTACATGTGGGTGTATGTATATAATACATGTTATATAATTTATTTATGAAAAGCCTTTCAGCAGTTGTCTCCATTTTCCTCCTGATTTGGTCGGTTCATTGGAGACTCCAAGATGTGACTCGCCATGGTGGCTGCTCGGTAACTTGTGAGGGACTAGCCTCTGTCTGCCTCTCACCCATGTGTAGACAGCCCAGGACTGGCTCACGCAGTAAGTCAGATAGCTCACGCTTTGCCCTGTTTATGAAATGGGATTCTGAAAAGTGAAAAGCTGATGGGGCTGCATTCTCCAGCTTTGGCCAGGCCTGGAAACCTTTACATCTTCAGGTCTATCCTCTTAGCATCAAACATTATGTCCTTGTTAACCATTTCCATGCTCCTGATCATAAACGGTTAACCAGACCTCAGCCTGGGCAATCCCCCTTCGACCCTCCAGTTTATGAAGCCTGCGTAGCCCTCCCCTCCCCGGTCCTTCTCTAGTCCCTCCCAGGCAGTCTCCGCTTGCCTCCCTGGGGCTCTGTTGTTCTCTCTGTGCCTTTGTAATAATAACCGAGGGCCTTTTCTTTTCCTTCCTTTCTCCTGAGATATGTCTATGATCTCTTTAAATCAGCTGAAACAAAACAAAATAAAAATAAATAAAAACAAGGAACCAATTCTGTGCCACGCCAGCAGAACATGTCCACTGGCCAAACGTGGGCTTTTGACGTTGCCCCTCTGCTTCCCCTCAGACCCTGAGCAACAGCACCAATGGTTTCCACACTTGAAGAAATGTAGAGGTCACCAAAGAAAGGAGAAAACACACAGAAGATGTTGTGACGATCTAAGACTGTAATTATGAAAATGGATGTCATGGTGCTTTATTTTTCCCTCTACCAATATTCTTAGAAACGGGGAAGTCACCAGGAGCTTTTGCTTTTACATATTTGGCAATAGTATAACTTATTAAGTAATTTTGAAATTCTTACAATTTTGTTCACATTTCAAGATAAAGTTTATTTGCAAGAGTCCTTGAATCACTTCTTGTGTGCTCAGAGATTGAATGCCAGGATTTGAAATGTCGTTAAGGTAGGTTCAGGAAATTAGCCATCTCCTAGTGTCAACAGTAGGTTGTGTATTTTAGCCGGTTGACTCACTGCTTCAGTGGGCAGCCTGCCCTCTGGAGAACTGTAGCCATTAACCTTCCCCAGCACATGTTTTCCAAACAAGGCCAGTGCCTCCTTCCTGACCTCCCGCATCATGATCCCTTTATGGTCCAGACGTCTTCACGCAGCCAGTGGGCTACTGCACTTACCACCTGTCACCACAGCATCACCTAGGACTAGCTCAGAAATGGCTTCATATATATATATATATATATACACACACACACATATATGTGTATATATATGTATATTAATGTGAGTTATATATATATATATAAATTGGGACAAAAGATGTTCTGAAAGAACTCTGTTTTAAAGGATTTCGAGGTAGCACTTTTGAAAGCAATGAATGCACCTATAAAACTGCCACCATGTATTTATTCATTTTATAGGTCCAGGCTTTCCCCCAATAGATTTGCACAGAAGAATTTGATTAACAAATGCACTTTCTCTGTACAGGGCACTTTTGAAAGCACTGCATAAAGTGCCTGTATTTAGACACATTGCAGTTATTAAACATGAAGTGTGTCATTTTGCAATATGTTAGTGTGTCAGATCAACAGGTGCACAACGTTATATATCAATCATATCCACATAAAACTGGGGGAAAGCAGTGTTTTCTTTGCAGCAAATGCTATGAGAAAAAAAATGGATACATTTTAAGATGGGCTGTTTTGCATAATCTTTAAAAGGGAGTTGAAAAATGATTAGACTCTGATTTCTTTTTTAAAAGATCAGTGTAGAAATATCAGCACTGGGAAGGGGTGAGAGTGGCTAGAGTGCCTACTATAGGCCAGGTCCCAGAGTAAATATTTCATACCCAGTGCAGCCCGTGTAGGGTTTGAAGCAGCTGGCTCTAAGGTTGGACGTCCTGAGTTTGAATCCCAGCTTCCATGTTTCAATACGGGTTCCATGGCATAAGGTATGCAAAGCACCTAGCCCCATGCTGATGTAGTAGCAGGAGATAAATAAATATTAGCTGTTCATTGTATTTTATTTCACTTAATCCTTTGATGTAGTCAACATCCCCATTGTACAGATTGGAGGCTGAGTCTGGAGTGATCTAAGTAACTTGCATAAAGTTTCAAAATTAGGTTGCAGAGGCAGAATTCAGAACCAGGGTTCTATGGGTACTCTCATAAAAACTCTGACTACGAGTTACCATTCTAGGCTGCCAGGATAATCTGTGCTGGGACTTTTTTTCTTCTTTTTTTAATGGTGAGAGAACACCATTTATACCCCCAGCTAGAATAACACCCTCTACTGAGAGACAGTGCTGTCCTTACAGGCAGCAAATTTACAATGATGTATAAACAAACAAACCTTAATATTTCTAAGTTTAGAAAAACTTTCAAAGGGCCCATGTCAGCAGTTAACCATTCTTAGAATTCTTTTTTTCACTTTGAATAGCAAATTTTAGCTATATGGGTAGGTCTATGCTTTTCAAAATCTGTGCATCATTTATGAAATATGCCAAATAAACCAATCCTATTAATACCTCTGCTGTGTAAATGTCATCATCTGTGCAAATATCAACTTGTAATGCCCGCATAAGGAAGTTATAAGGATGTTCCTTTAGCAACCGGAAGGTCAATGTCTGGGATGTGAGGCCAGAAGTAACTTTCTGACTGGCTGCTGCAGGTTTCATCTCTTTCCACGTCCAGAGTGGCTGACGATGCTGGGTGTCCTCAGTCCCTCGGCCACACCACTCAGGCTGGGTCTCATATCGTCCAATAGCCTTTCTAGATGTGGGCTTCAACTGAGGACATCGTTGTTTTCATCCTCAAGGTGCTTGGCTTAGTGGCTGTAATGACCAAGTATGGCCACTATAGGACGATGATTGAAGTTTTAATAGTGAGAGAGTGTTCAGCGGTGTTCACATTGGAACTGGCAAATTATTTTACTAATGCAGGATTCTGCTCAGCTTTGTTGAAATCCTAGGCAAATAAGTCATCTGCAACCCAAGATACAGATAGGATTTAGCTCTTGTAGTAGGCTGACTCTCTTTTCTCTTTAGACGTATGGATATGAGAGAATGGAATTAAACTTCAATTTCACAAATGAATGTGAGCTTAATATAAAGATAGCAGGAAGCAAGAGGAATTTGGGCTGAATATCACATAATTTTCATTGCAGTTTACTTCCTAGCACTTAATCCAGTCAAAATATTTTCTTCACAGCATTGCTACCTTCAGAGTTATTCAGATGCCTAACTGTATTCCGCCGTCTAAATTTATATCCACAAGAAGGCACAGAGTGTATGCCTCGAAGTCTATGCAAATGAAAAGAACCCGCTTCTGGATGGTGTTATGAGTGGGACAGTTTTAGGAAGCTTCTCGCCGCCTCAGCTAAAGCACTCTGGGTTTCCCTTTCCAGGGTTCAGCGGATTCCTACACGAGCAGGCCGTCAGACTCTGATGTCTCTTTGGAAGAAGACAGGGAAGCGATTCGGCAGGAGAGAGAGCAGCAAGCGGCTATCCAGCTTGAGAGAGCAAAGGTGACTTTCTTACCCCTCTTTGGTTCCAAAGTGGAATATTGATCAGCTCTCTTCCCCTGCCTCAGATTTCTCTGGAAAAAAAAAATCACTTTATAATCATCCTGAACAGGCACCAGACTGTAAGGCTTTCTGATCCATTCACCCCTAAGAGAGGTTTATTGACCTTCCCAGTGGGCCATTACCTGGGACACTGACAGCTCAACCTTTTGTGTTTGGTTTGGGGGAGGAGTTTTTTGGTGATCTTCCAACCTATCAGTTGTCGCCAATATCAGGCTGGCCACACCCAGTGCTGGCAGGAGCCTGCTGAGGTTGGAGCTCACCCCACCTCTTCTGTGACACTGGCCTTCGCTGCAGGCCACACTGGCACTGTTGTTCCATGGGTCCCCCTGTTGTTCTCTCTGCTCTTCACTCTTGGTTTCAGTCTCCCACCTCAAGTTCAGTGTTAAGTTCAGAACTCTGAACCAGTACTAGCATTGCAGTGAAGAGGAGCAATAAGGACATTGACAAAATAGACCTCCAGACACTCCACAGGGAGAAAACCCCCAGTAGTCCCTGCACCTACAGGAGGCAATAAAGTGCATTTTTTACTGTCAGAGTGAGAAGGGCCACTAGAGCTCTTCCATTCTGTGTCTTTTAAACTACTTTTTTATTTTTTAGCATAGACTCCTTTTGCCCAATGAAATCTTATGCACAACAGCAAATTTTTAAAAGAGGAGAATGACGCAGTTAGTGAGGTATCTTCTTTTGCTCCAACACCTGCCATGCCTGTGTTAGGCTGGCAGAAGGGGCTTTTGGGCAGTGCCTGTGAAGAGTCATAGTGGGACTTGAACTCAGGACCTGCCTCAAATGTTGCTCCCTGGCCATGTTCACAGAATGAACCAGCCTGGGACTGCTCAAACTTTGTATACTTAGTCATTTGTGGCTAATTTTTGTTCTAGTTTTCTTTCAGAGTCTGTTTTGGGGCCATTGTGGTCATGCAAAAGTCAGTGCAATACCATTAGTGTAGGCTGGTGGTTTGCTTAACCTTGGCCAGGATGCACCAAATGCACCCAAGAGTATTTGGTCCAGAAAGACTTTCAGAACCAACTTCTGTTAGGTAGGGAGTAGGTGATGTGTGAGCCACTCTGCCCTTCCTGTCTACCCCTGGCTGGCCTTTTTTTCTCCTTGGCAAGATAAGGTATTCTATTAAATGGGATCCCACAGGTTTTCAGATCCAGCTCACCACCCACACCACCACAATAACCTTTTTATTTAAGACCCAGCACACATTTCCTGTATCGGGAGGGTGGGAGTGTCTGTTATCATTTAAAATAACAAGCAAGTTTTATGACTAGAGGGCAAAGCAGGCAGCCCCTCCCACATTTCCATTCATTCTCAGTCCTTCAAGGCACATTTTTTGTGTGGGGTGTTGGAAAGTACAACAGTCATTTTCAGTGTCCAGTCTGCAGATGTCTCAGTGCTGCCTGAGGATGTGAAACCCATTTGAGGTCCCCCTTTGCAGAGTGACTTCCCTACTGCCTGGTACTACCAGTTATCTTACTATAATGCTACATGTCAATGTGAAAAACCCTCCTCTGTCTCCCTCCCTCCATCCTTATCCCATGATGCTGTGCCCAGTCCAAGCCTGTAGCCTTTGCTGTGAAGACGAATGTGAGCTACTGTGGTGCCCTGGACGAGGATGTGCCTGTCCCAAGCACAGCCATCTCCTTTGATGCCAAGGACTTTCTACACATTAAAGAGGTAAATGTAGCCACTCTGTGACCCTTAACCTGCCCCAATGCCAAAGCTGGGGATCAGCTCTGAGCCAAATTACCAGAGAGAAGCCCTGAGGAGCTGCTGTTGTGTTACCTCATTTGATTTACTGGGACTTCCAAATCCATTCTTTCTCACCAAGACCAGAAGCCTGAGATCACTGCTTGCATTACCACACATTTAAAACATTGGATCACAGTCATCACAGGAGGGACTTAGTATGGACCTGTGGTCTTCTGATCACCTTTTAATTGCCTTGCATGACCACAAAGCCATATATCTAGGAATCCACCTTAGGGAAACATGATTTTGGTGGCATGGGACCTACCCATGAGGGACCATTTGCAAGGGATGTTGTAATGATAAACATCTGGGCTATAATCTAGTGGACCTTGACCTTGATATCAATATTCACCAGTGTAATAATTACAGTGTTAAAACAAAGAAGAGGGTAGAGATTTTTGGGAAAAAGAAAGCTTAAGGGATTGAGCAATACTAGGAGGACTTGAAGTGTTCCAACCCAAGACGGTGGAATAGTAATGCCCAAAACTTTTATTCACATGACCTAAGTATATTGAAGTCCTACTTCATGTCAGACACGAAGTGTCTGATTGTGCTGGGCAGTGGGAGGTCAGAGATGAAGGCTCAGTTTACCCATGGCCAGGGAGCTCTGAGTGTGGTGGAAAAGACTGAGAATTAAACAGTTTCTGCACAGTTGACAAGTTCCATTACAGTGCAATTGAATGGGTATTGTGGGAAGATCAGGGGGACCACCAGGCTGAGGAGTAGGAGGATCAGGGAGCCAAAAACCTCTATAGAAGTGGTGAAGCCTGAGGGAGTTCACACTGGGGTGGGGGGTGGCAGCAGGTAGAAGGGGCAGCTAGGAGCAATGCAGCGTGGGTGGGGGGCAGTGAGTAGGGAGTGGTACATGGGATGGGCCAGTTCAGAGAGGCAGGAGCCTGATTAAAACAAGGACCTCTTAGGCCATGACAAGAAGCCTGGACTTGATCACTAAGCAGTGGGCTGGAGAGGAATTTTAAATAAAGGATGGATGGGGCCAGCCTCTCCCGACCAACTCTGATGGTCAAGAGAGTATTGCAGAGGCTGGGAGACACCGTGGGGCTGGAGAGTGGCTGTAGCAGGCAGGATGGAAAGAAGCAGCAGCTTGGGAGAGAGGTAAGGGGCAAATGGACAGGGAGATTTCACATGGGTGGGAATATTGGAAAAAGTAAGATAAAGGATAAATGAAAGGTGGAGGCCAGTTATTCCAACTTACTTGAAAGGGTGGAGGATGGGGTCAGCTATCAAAATAAAGAAGGCAGAGAAGGGAGAAGACTTGTGATGGGGGTGGGCGTGGTTATAAATATGCTTTTAGATACACTATGTCAGGGGTGCTGTGAAACTCCCATGAAGATATTTAATAGACCTTTATCCATGTAATCTGGAGGCTAGAGGGAGGAATTGCAATTTTCTCTGCCTGAATGCTAAGGGTTGAGGAGACTGGGCTCTAGTCAGGAGAAGATAAAGAACTGAAGCATGTTTTTAAGCTTTGCTTTGCTTTTTTTTCCCTTTTGTTTTCTTAGGATGGGAAAGATTCAAGCATGTTTTCCATGCTGAGATGTTGAACCTGGTGAAATATTTTGGAAGGAAAAGTTGTAGCTGATAGAATGAGAGGAGGGAGTAGAGGGGAGAAGACGGCATCTGGAAAATGGGCACAAGAATTAGGCTGAGTCAGGAGGAAAGTCTTGCCTCCCTTGAACTTTTCTGCTGTGCACAGAATTTCCTAATGGGGCTGGGGTCATACGCTGCAGGACGGGCCTGCTCGATAGTCTCCAGGGGCTCTGCTAGAAAGGAGTCACTGGAAAGTACATCTTAGGAAAAGGAGAGTGTAAAGGTGGAGAAATGAAGAGAAAGCCGAGGAGCCTGAAGAATGTGACCGATGTAAACATATCACTTAATGTCACTGAGACACGTGCGTGGTAAATGTATGACAGTTGTGAAAATCATTGCCTTTGAAACTCTGCACTCTGCAATGGCATTAGTGACACCAGGACATATGCATAGCTTTAACATTTTAATTATTTGACTCCAAGAGAGTCAAACATCTGGATGTCTGCAGATGTCTCACTATCTTTACATTGCACCCATGTGACCTACATTTGTGTAGTCACTCACCCAAGACACAGCTCTTGAGTATTTGGTATGTACCAGGCTCTATAAACAAAGCAGACAGAGTCCCTTCCCTCATAGACTTCAGTTCTAATGAGGAGAAAAGTATGAACAAATGAACATTCCAAATTGTGAATGCTTTGTGGGGGGCGGGGGATGAATTAAATACTGACATTTTTAAAATATAAGGACAAGGGGGTTGCATACTTGTACATAAAGGGTGATCAGAGAAGGCCTTTGTGAGAATGGGACCTTTAAGCAGAGACCTGGAGGATGAGGAAGAGTCATCCTTACAAAGAACAAGGGGAACCTTCTGGGATGAAGAATCTGCACATGCAGAGGACTCGAGGTGGGAAAACAGCGCAGCACAGTCAGCAACCCGGAAGAAAGACATCAGGCTGGAATGCAGTGAGCCAGGGGCCCAGTAGCAGGAAACGGAGTTGTAGGAGTAAGAGGGCACATGTCACATAGAACCTTACGTGATGGTGAGACTTCAGGTTTTTCTCTAAATGTAATGAGAAGCCACTGAAGACTTTAAAAGCAGAGGGGTGAAAAGAATTTTTTTTTAAATTTTCCGATTGTAGAGACAATGGATTGGAGTGGGATATGTGTGGAATCCTTCTAGGTGAGAGATACTGGGATTGACCCAGCATGGTGATGGTGACATGGAGAGAAGCAGACAGATTTGAGGTATATTGTAGACATTCAGTGAAGAGCACAGGTGATGGACTCAAGGTAGTAACTAAAATTGAGCAACTGGGGTGTTCATTACTTGGGTGGGGAGAGGACAGATGGGGAGAGAGGTTGGGGAATGGACATTTCAAAGAAGATATCAAATAGGAAACTAGCTATAAGAATCTGGAGCTCAGGGGAAAGGGTTGGGCCAAAGATATAAATTTGGGTCACTTGTTTATGCATGGTATTTAAAGCTGTAGTAGTCAAGGAAGTCACCTACTGCTAAAGAGAGAATAGAGAGAGGAGAGAAGGCAGCTCTGAATCAAACCCAAAGGAATTCCATCCTGCAGAGGTGGGGTGCATGAAATGATTCAACAAATAAGGAAGCTGAAAAGCAGAAGTATGAGGCAGAGGAGGAAAACCAGGACAGAGCAATATGTGGACGGTGCGAGAAGAGTGTATCTACAAGGAGGAAGCAGCCGGCTGTGGCAAATGTGACGTACCCCCTGGGATGAGGCATGAGGAATGGACCGTGGACTGGCAGCATGGTGGTCAGCAGCATGGAAGTCACTGGGACCAATGTCTGGAATTGTGGAGACGGAAGCCTGATGGAATGGGATGAGGAGAAAAAGGACTATATTTAGCAAGTGGAGACCATGTTTTCAAGGAATTTCACACTGACCAGGCAGTACACTGAGGAGGGTATGAAATCAAAAGAGGTTTCCATTTCAAACAGGAGCTATTGGAGCACCCATATTTGCTGTTATTAACAGAGAGAGAGAGAGAGAGAGGTGGGAAAGGAGAGAGAGGAAAAGGAGTAAAGTTTTTGAGTAGGCAGGAAGGGTGGGATCCATGCCCTGAGTGGAGGGGCAGCCCTTTGATAGGAAGGGGAACGCTTCTTTATTGAATGTGCAGGAAAAATGCGTGCAGACAAAGACTGCCTTGGTAATGGGAAGCTGACAAAGCGTCAGCTCGATGGCGTCTACTTCCTCCCTGGTGTGTGAGGTGAGGGCATCCACATCTGCTTAGAGGACAAAAGCCCTGGACCCGAAACCTGTGCCTGGTATTTGAGTGGTTAAGTTCATTTTGCCTCATCATCCCCCCCCCCCAATGACCAACCATCTTCATTAGTTGCTAATACTCTTTGTTCCCAAGGAAAAGCAGAACTTCAGACACATGGTCCCATATTCCATGCAAACTCACACATACTAGCATTCCCACCTTGCTGTATTTTATTGTTTCCCTCCATTCTGTCCATATTTTCCAGTTTGTCCTGTTGGTTGCTTTTTGATCTGTATGCTCCTTGATCAATGACTTTTTCTTCAGTCTGGCAGTTTGATGTGTGGTATTGAGTTGCTAGTCCTATGTGGATTAGAGCCAGTTGCTTCAGATCTTGAAATATCAGATGGGAAAACATCTTAGAAAGGGAAAGCACTAATCATTTTAGGGAAATCAAAATGAGAATGATTGGAACAACAGTAGAGTGACCTTGCCAGAAAGCTGGCTCATGCTTTTGGAACTGCAACACAAATGAACACATTTCTGTAATTAAGTCGTAGCCTTTCCTCTCCATTGCCTAGGAGGTCATCTATTATGCACTGTTTTAAATACTTTCTCAGTAATGGAAAAGTTCAAAGGCAGAGAAAAGCTACAGCTCTCCTTATCACACATACTAAATTATAAGCAAATTATACTCTTGATTGTACATAGTGAGTTTCTCTCAAGTGGCTCAAAGAACTTTTATTTATATGAGTCAGATTCTCAGTGTGCTCTATCTATGGTTTCGTAGAACTAAGTGAAAACATACTGGGAAGCTGCAGTAACCATTTCAGGAAGCCCTTTAAGGTCACTTGAGTACCATTTAATAAATTAGTGTTCCAGTGGGCTAACTTAATTTCAGGAAATAACTTAAGCCCCAGGAAACTATGACTCAGGGTCTGTTTTGTCTTCACCATGGTCAAATTTAAATACCAGCCCTGTGCACCAAAGATTCTAAAAGGTCCTCCTTGCCTCTTGTTAATTCCAAAATAGATAGACCTATTATTTCAGGTCTATTGTCCTAAAATAAAAGATAGGAAGATGGGAAAGACTAAAACCAGGATTATTCAAGATTCTTTATTGATTCAACTCTCATTTCTCCAGTGTTGTCTCATTCTGCATGCCGTGCATGACTTGTATAGAAGCTGTGTGCATAATAAAGGCCAAATCCCTAAACCACGTTTTTCTGCTTTTGAGCGTTAAGGCAGAACTTCATGATGTGATGAGGCAATTAAACTACCCATTCTTCCTTCACAATGTATCAATGCTTTATGCATATAAATTCTACTTTTTTCTGAGCTAGGCAAATTGTGCTACATGAAGTTGTTATATTTTGGAAAAAATAGATATTTTTGGATCAAACTAGAGAGTTATCTTGTCCACCAACCATCAAAACAATAAAGGAAGTTCTGGGAATCATCTCTGTGGGTGTAAATAATAGGACTGATAAATCTACTCTGGGAAATCACTGGCTGAAACCTCCCCTTGAGGCAGGTGGGTTGGATTAAATGTGTTTTTTGCCCTGGGATTCAGTAAATTCATAATTGTAAATGCAGTTTCCCTGACCCACCAAATGGGCCACGTTGACAGAATCTCACTCTGTATTGACTGAGACCTTTGCATGGGTCCTTCAAGTTTATGTGTCATGGAACTTTATTGAAATGGAAATTCTGGTGTTCCTGTTGGGCTTTTGGCCATCTGGAGATTATTTCCAAAATATTCCACATACAAACATACAATATGTTTAGTCTTTGTAAGATTAGGCTTCTTTTTCTTCAGGTAGTAATGTTGACCTTAATTTGCAAACCTATATTTGGAGGTATGAGAGAGGAAAAATAATTTTTCTTTATTCTTCCAAATTCTTCTGGCTAGTCTTATAACCAAATTAACATGAGACAGATTAACAGGAGAGAACACCCAAATTTATTATGTATGTCCCTATAGGAGTTCCCAAAGAATATGAGGCCCAAGTACACATTGGGCAGTTCAGATTTGTATGTCATTCTGGAGCTAAGAAGAAAGTGTGTGTGTGTGTGTGTGTGTGTGTGTGTGTGTGTGTGTGTGGTCTGACACTTCAAAGGGCAGGAGGGCAATTCACAAGGAGATGAAAAAGCCCGTGTTGGGTAAATAAAGTGTTGGCTGGGCCATCTTTGGCAGTGGGGTACAGAGAGGACTTTGAGCAAATGGGCCTCACTAGATTTTCCCGGTCACACCTAGTTCATATTAAAATACCATTATCTAATATAAACAAATTAATAAACTATGGTTATCTATGATGATATCTTCCTTCCTGAAACAAGTCCTCTAAGTTGTTTTAGGCAGTTAGGGGGAAGGTAGTGGTTTTTCCTGAGTCTTTCATTTCTTGAAAATAATCAGCTTAAAATAATTAATATTTCGGGTGGCATATTTTGGGATGCTAAACTCTGCTTCCCCTCAGAAGATTGTAATTCCTCCCCATTGAGAGTAGATTATAGACTCCATCATGGATTTCTACCTAAAAGCTTTTGACAAATAACCGACTATTGAATGTATTTCATTTCAGACATGCCTATCTTCAAGAATTTCAGTTACACCAATGTCTATTTATTCTTATAAAATATATTCTTTAAGAATAACTAAGGCATTTTAATAAGGACCAAAGGAATCCAAAGGTTAGGACCTGACTTTACACCAGGGATTGGCAAACGGTGGCCCCTCTGCCGTTTTCTGAAAGAAAAGATCTACTGAAAGACAGCCACGCTTCCTAGTGTATGTGTTGTCTGTGGATGCTCCCGCACTGTGACAGCAGGTTTGAGTGGTCGCAACAGAGAGCATATGGACAGCAGAGCCTGAATATTTACTATCAGGGCCTTTAGGTAGAAAGTTTGTAGACCTCCACTTTAGTGTTTATACAAAGCCTGTCCGGAAGGTACCCAGCCATGTACTATGAAAAATAGAGACATTTATTGAGGAACATACAGGATACAAGAAACATTGTACATAGTATACTGACGCCTCAGTCCCCTTTAAAGTTGGCACCTTGGGACCTCACACAGTTCCCCCAATTGCCATCAGCTGTCCTGTCATATTTTCACAAATCTCATCGATGGTTTGAAATCTCTTCCTTTTCAAAGGTGATTGTAGTTTTGGGAAAAGCCAGAAGTTGCAGGGTGCCAAATCTGGGCTGGGGTGAGGGGTGCAGCTGAGTCACCTGAGTGATTTGATGTTTTGCCAAAAAACTGCACGAGATGTAATGCAGAGCAGGTGTGATGTTGTGATGAAGCTGCCCATCACCAGTGGCCCATAGCTGCAGCCTCCGGAATCATCTGAATAGTTTTCATGAAGGAATGTTCAAGTTTAATGCAAAATTTGATGTAGATTCGTTGCTTTACTCCCTCAGTCATTTTGAATGTGATGGCCACACAGGACATATGCACACTCAAGGGAGGGTACTGCCCCCGCTGACTAGTACAGTGAAGTTGTCATTGTTCACACATGCTCATTCCAATCCACTCTCCTTGGCTGCCAGGTTACAGCGATGTCAGCAAACCATTCTTGTTATATTAACAATGGCTGGACTTTTTCTGGACAGACCTCATATGTATAATATAGTACAATATATAGTACGAATGGTGTTTCGTTCTTCTGGTCCCCTGAAATTAATTAATGGAACGTGAAGATAAGTGAACTACTATTGGTAGCAGTTTTATTTCTGCATTCCAGAAATATAACAATGATTGGTGGATAGGAAGGCTGGTGAAAGAGGGCTGTGAGATTGGCTTCATCCCAAGTCCACTTCGACTGGAGAACATACGGATTCAGCAAGAACAAAAACGAGGACGTTTTCACGGAGGGTAAGGCTCCTTTCTTTCTCTAAACTTTGCAGGTGGATGCAGGTAGGAACATTAAGTGATATATTCAAGCTTGCTTATTAGGTTCAAACTGTATGCTTTCAAAGTAAAGACACTTTTCTTTGTATGGGGTGTTCCTGAAATTGACACAAAAGTGTTTCAGACATGCCTTCTCCCTGAAGCCTGGTCCCACTGGAACCCACGTGAATTTCTGCAGCCTCAGCAAACCCTCCTTGGAACCTGCTCTTTCCTTCATTAGAGTCATGGAGGACAACTTTCTCAGTGCGGGACATGGGAGCCTGGCCAGAGGTAGCATCATGGCTGTTCCTGGTTAGCTTTCAGAGACTCTTTCTCAGCTTGTCACGGAATGTGGTGGCATGTGCGGGTCCAGGTACTAGCAGCACCTTCCCCACCCAGGGCTCTTGGTGGCATCTGCCATCTCTTGGTAGTAAAGTATCAACTCTGTCTAGCTTCGGATGAATCAGCGTCTAGTGGACTAATGAAGTAGCCATATAGGTCGCAGCACACCGGTCCCAGGAATGTACCAAAGCTTGAGAGAAATCAGAATCATACTGAACCTGCACGTGTGAGCCTGCCTTGAAGCATTTTATTTGTTATCATTTATTTCTAAGGCCTAAGATAGAAGCAGTTCCTTCTCTTGACTCTCAACCTCCTTTTTTCTGTTGGATCCTTTTCTATTTTGAAAACTCCTGTGTTCGTGAGGGGCCGTGTTGCCTTTGTCACATGGGAACCTCTGAAACAGTGATAGGAGATCACAAAACTACAGTCAGCCCCACTTTTGGTTATCAATCTCATGTAGTGTATAACATGCCTATAATGTTAATTATTAATTCCTCTTGTTCCCTCTACTTTCAACTGTCTCTCCTGATGCTCTTTAAACACATTGGTAATACAGGTTTCCACCTCAGGACCTTTGTACTTGCTGTCTCCTCTCACTGGAGCCCTTTCCTTCATTTTTCCACCAGATAACTCCATCACTTGCTTCAGGTCTTTGTTAAATGTACTTGTTCAGTGGCCCCTTTCCTGCCACTGTATTTAAAATTGTGCCCACTTCCCATCTCTACCCTGACTTTGTTTTCTCTGTTGCATTTATTACCATTAGAAATACTATATATTTACCTATTTATCTGTTCGATACCAGTATCATCCACTAGACTCTGTCACTGTATGTGACAGGATTTTGCATTTCTCCCCCCACTGTTGTACGACTAACTTTGGAAACAGCGGATACTCAATAAAATATTTGCTTAATGAAATAATAAATGCATTATTATCTCATTTATAAGGTTATTAGTTTATTATTTTTTCCATGATGTCCTTATATACTTATATAATTTTGGACTAAAAGCTTACTGTGCAAAAGGTGTGAGAGTAAAGCCAAGAGCTACAGACATGATCTTATTTTCTTTATGCCAACCCTGGGAGGTGGAGCCTCTCCTTCTGCAGATGAGGACGCTGAGGCTGAAAGGTGTGATAAGATGTGCCAAGGTCCCATGGCTAGTGAGTGGCACAGCCAGGATGAGAAATAAGATTGTTCTGACTCTGGGGACCATATTCATAAGCACTGAAAGGGCAGGTTGCTGGAGAAGTGGGGAGGTGGGCTCTATGGGCCCCTGTGGGCTCCAGGGAGGCTTCCAGAGCCCGGTGAAGAGCCCCATGAGGAGACTAGTGCCAACGATCTTCCATTCTGGGCCACACACTGTCAGTTCCTAATTCTGATCCCACGTAATTGCTTCTCGGAAGAAATGCTTCTTCCTGGTCTTCCTGCTTGTTTTGAGCTGTGTTTGACATCTGAGTGGTGCCCTGGTGGGCCATGTCTGTTAAAAGCCAGCTGTTCACAAGAACATCCCTGTCAGTGATTCCACTGCCTCATTTCTGTGATGAATAACTAGGAGAGAAATTTTTGCAAAATATTTCCAGATCCTAGTTAGTTCCCCATTTTCTCTGAGAAATGAGGTCAAAGAAAACATTTGGACAGATTCTTGAAGTTCTTCTCTATAGCAGGATGTGGTGTGTTTTGAATTATCTAGGAGGATTAAGCCAAAGAAAGCTTTGTACTCTCAAGTTCCATTTTCAAGGGATCTGGAGAAGGACTTATGTTCCTGTTCTATATCCTAGGAAATCCAGTGGAAATTCTTCTTCAAGTCTTGGAGAAATGGTATCAGGGACATTTCGAGCAACACCTACATCAACAGGTGAGGGTTTTAGTTAAACTCTTTTTAATATAATGTTTTCCTTGCTTAATATTTGAACATATGTGCAAGTGTTTTTACTAGTTTGTAAACAACTTAAAGGGCTTGATTTAAAGATAATTCTACTTAATATTTTATTGCTCATTTGCCTTTCATAGTAATTTGATTTGACTTAAAGGGTAGGTGTGGTACTAAAAATTTAGATATTTGTATGATATTGAAAAGTCTTATTTATTCATCATTGTGTAAACCAATCTGAGGCAAGTTCATTATTCCATTCATAAACTCAACAGTCTTGGAGATGGTGAGGGCCAATGAAAAAGAAAAAACAAGTTGTAGACTCTCAAGAAAATACTCTGTTTCAGTCTCCATGGGCAATGTTAGGATGTTTTGGTACAGCCTGGGCTGTGGAGATCGGGAGGGTTGAAGCAGAGAATGAGCCTGGATGAGGGCTGGGCCTAGATGACCTCAATTTTCTTTGGCTACCAGACAGCTAAGCTCTGAAGTTAATGGTAATGAAGAGAGACTAGTAGCCCAATCAAGAGTTGTGCATTTGGAAGTTGTGGAGGTCCTCAAGCAGGATTTTTCTTCCATCACATTTTCTGATGCCTATAGGCTAATTTCATTCTGGCCCAGACCTGATGCTGCAGTAGGACATTGCATATTACCAATTCAGAATGACAAGTCCAGGGTCTCTCCTTGCCTACCATTGCTGCAGGAAACTGCATCAGTTCTGGAACAGTTCTGAGTATATGGGTCCTTGTGCATGTGAGCCCTTCTTGGTTTCAGGGCCCTGAACTAAACTAGGTCTCTGGGTTGCCCCCACATGGACTGGGCCTGCTTGGATGGCCACAAAAGCACTTTAAGCAGATATTGAGTATATTTTGCCTCATTGCCATTTATTGGACATTTAGGGCATTGTGGGTTTTCACTATTAAAAACAAAAACAAACAAACAAACAAATAAGAATAACTGGTTATAAACTTAATTGTAATCAAGAGTGGCATAGTAGGAAAAATGTGTCACTATCCTGGAAAGTGAGCTAAAAGACTTAAGAATGCATAAAGGACTGCAAAACCCAAAAATAAAACAAGTGACAGAGGTGCTGATTATTTTTACCCAAATTGTTATTCTGAGTTTCTCTTTACCACATTTGCTTTGTCCACGATGTTCTCAGCCACACTGTGTGCTGTGTTTGGCAGGAAACCACCCATGGCCCATGCTGGCCCAGAACCCCCAGTGTTGTTTTCACACCCACCCTCCCCACCCAACAGGAGATTGGGATGTAAGGTCCCTCCTACGTGGAGGAAGTTGTCTGTTATTTCGTGTCTTCAAAGGGGCCTGTCCTGAGTGAGGTGATGGAACCGTGTTCTGCACAGTGGGTGGTAGTGAGATGGTGAGACTCACAGGGACAAGGCGCACATTCTTCCCTCCTTTAAAATCGTGTGCTATCGTTTGCAGAGGTGACATATTTTGATATGGCTCTCATTGTTGTCTTTTAGCAAAACAGAAGCAAAAAGTGGTAAGTTTGTATTTCCTTTTTAAATCTACTGTTAAGGTTTCTATCCCTGGGTGCCTGCCATGCTCCATTTCAGTGTCTTGAGTGGCTGTAAAATAAGGGATGAGCCTCATCAGCCGGGGCCTGTGGTGATCATTTTCTGTTTGACCAGAAAGTGGTGAATGTTGTGGCTGCTGAGGAGGTATACCTCACTTCACCTTGTCACGAGTGTCAAATCGTCTCTTTCAGACGGAGCACATTCCTCCTTACGATGTTGTGCCGTCCATGCGTCCGGTGGTGTTAGTGGGGCCGTCACTGAAGGGTTATGAGGTACAAATACCAGCCTGCTATGCTTCAGTTCTTGATCAGGAATCTGGGAGACAGCCATTTGGAGCTGGCTCTGTGGGCCTGCTTACAAAGAGGTACCGACGGAAGCCACCTCTCAGCATGTGACAGAGGCTGGTGCAGCGTGGGGCTTCTCATCTACTACCGTATTACATTGTTTAGAAATAAATGATCTCCCTCAAAACATTTCTAATGGGAGGTTCTGTTAAAAGGTTTGCTCTGCATCACATTCAAAGAAATGGACTTTCTCTGTCTCAGCCATTCCCATTACTGTTAGAAGTGACAGAATGTGAACAGCACGTGGGAACATACAGACATTCTGCCAGCAAACCTAAACCCTCAAAGCACCCACACATCTCCTCCTCCTGGTGATCAGGTTGATGGCATAGTCCACCAAATATATTTCTCTGCTTATTTATTTCGAAGGACATAAAGAAGGAAAAAATTCACTAAAAATATGAGTGAACTTCTTCACAGATTAATTAAACAGTACCATGTTAGAAGGAAAGAGTAAGGACTTAGATGTACTATGTTGCAGATGTTGCGGTTTCAACTTCGTTCTAGAATAGGTAATAAGTGGGACATTAAAGTCGAAGTTCGGCAGCCTCCAGAGCACCATTCCCACGAAGCTAGGACAATGTCTAGCACCTAGTGGGAATCTATTTCTTTGAGGTAGATCTGAGACTCCTACCTTCTTCCTGCCTCTTTTTCTCCTTCCCCTCTCCCTTTCTGCCCCTCTCCTTTCCTTCTCCCCTCCTCCTCTCAATGGGGACCTTCGCAGAAGAGCAGGAAGAGGTGACTGGCCTACATCAATCCAGCCCTGGGCACAGAGAATTTCTACCAACATGCACAGACAGGCAGGAGCGCAGAGCCTAGGGCTGGTCTGCAGGGAAGGGTCTAGCTTCTCCTCACTGGAGGCCAGTGCCACTCAGGTTGTGGCAAGGGCAGGCCACACCTGTGTGCAAAGCCAGCCTGTGGTGGGCTCCTGAAGGTAGTTCAGAACCTGATAAGGGAAGAGGTTTGCTTTGGGTCAAGTGAATATTGCTGGTTTGTCCCTTAACACCCTGGAGGCAAATCAAGGGGGAAAATTTAGTGCCTGCAGGTAGTTAAGAATGAAAAACACCTTCCACGGAACCTGCCCCTTGGAGAGGACTGGCTGTGAGAAGGTCTTTGCTCAATCACAGTGCCCTTCCCTTCCACCTCTCTTACTTTTGACTTCTCTCTCTCTCTGCGTGTGTTTGCCTCATTCTCTTTTTCTCACCTCTGCAAAGGTAACAGACATGATGCAGAAAGCCCTCTTTGATTTCCTGAAGCACAGGTTTGATGGGAGGTGAGAATATAGATATTTTTGTATTTTTATTTTTCTTTAATCAAACATGTATGGTGGAATTTTTTGTGGATCTATGTTTCCAGCAATTGCAGAAGATCTGTAATTAACAGTTAACTCCATCAGGGAAGGATACAATGAAATCGCTCTAAAAATATGAAGTTGTGAAGTATAGCGTTGAATCCCTAAGGGAAAAAGGGCCTTGAGAAGGAAAATAATCCATTCATTTTACTTACTGTATTTTGCCATGTATTACACGCTCCCATGTATAATGCACACCCACATTTTTGGCCCAAACTTTCAGGGAAAATATCTTTCATTTTAATTTTTTAATTCAATTTTTATTTATATTTAGAAACAAAACCTATTATCGTATTCCAGGGTATTATTTTGCATATAGGTATTGTTATTGCTCTCTGGAGTTACACTTTTAACACAGAAGCATAAATAAAAGAATTAAAAACATTTATATAGATATGGAATTAGTACTACCCATATATAATGCACACCCTTATTTTTCCCTAAAAAATTTGGACAAAAAGGTGAGCATTATACATGGCATAATATGGTAAATGTATGTGTTTGTCTTTATCTTCTCACTGGTTGGTGAATTCTTACCAAACTTCTTTTATGAAAATTATTAATTTAAAATATAGAATAATTATGATAAATATGGCAGCTCACTGATCAAGCTGGGTAGTATTTGGGAGTTACACTTGTGTATGTGTGTGTATCATGTAGACATATAAATGTAAAGTACTCAACTTGCTCAAAAAAACCGTGGAAGAAATGTTTTCATCTTAAGCCTCTCAAAGTGACTATTTTGTAGGGAATAGTACTTTGGAGGTTTAGCTCAGTGTTTGTTTTCTAGAAATTACCTTGTTATTTTATTGGTCTATTTTATACACATTCAACTATGACCCATATTCAACATGGCTCAGTCTTTAGCTATCAGATAATTTCATCATTTAACTTTTGTGAAAAATGTCTAGAAAGAGTTTCTGTGTTTTGCAGAGAAATGGTAAAAAGTTCCTGTCGACTCAATGCTAATTCTTAGGCTCTTTCACAATGCATTGTGAATAACATAACCACCTGCAGATACCTGAAAACTTATTAAAAGCAAAAAAACCTAAATAGCATGTACTAAAAATATGGTTACAGGCATCCAATGTACCAAATATTTTAATAAATATGGTATTTTAAGAAAAAGGGAAACATGAGAATGCTTTAAATACAAATTGCATGTACTTGTCAAAAGAAAAACTTTCTGGATAATTGTGATAAAAATAGTCATTCATTTATTGGACTACGTACAAAGAAAATAAACTGAGATTTTAGTTCCAGTAATTGAGATTTTAGTTCAAGAAATCAGAATGCCTCTGTGCAATTATTTGAATTGCTAAGTACGTTAGTGGAGGCCAGGGTGCCTTAATGAATACATCCCAAATTGTATCATGATTCCAATACAATGAAAGCTTATTGTTGCCCATTTAACAATCTTAGGCAGATGTTCCCCAGCTGAAAGACAGAGGAGAGTGGAGCAAGGGGAGGATTGGGCAGAAAGCTTGTTCTGCCCATCATTTGGGGCCCTTGGCCTGAGGGTGGTCTCTTCAGTCACCTGGTGGGGACAGGAGCATGGCAGCCTGGAAGTGATACCCATTGATTGTCACATTTCATTGGTTAAACTGGGTCACATGGCCACACTTAATTGTAAAGGAGGCTGGGAAGTAACGAACTATAGAAATGATCCCTGAAAGTATAGCCTTGAGGCTGGGAAGTATATAGTCTAGCTGTGGACCCAGGAGGAAGAGGACAGAGATACTGTTGAACAAGTAATAGTGGCTGCCACATTCATCAAGTGGACCCAGAGAGCTGTAAGCAAACCAGAAGTTTATCCTGTCACCCTCTTTTTAAAAAAAGACAGTCAAAGAATAAAGTAGTTACAAAACAACCAAGTGAGTAACACTGAATACTAGAATATTGGAGTTGGAGGCAAATGTATAAGTTATTTTATTCTAATCTCTTTAACAACCACTAACCTGCTTCTGTTTGGAAACTGTTGGCTATAGGGGATCCATTTCTTAAGAAAGCATTACAAAGACACAGCAGAGCTCTGGCTTTTTAACTTAAACAGTTAGCTTTGGTCCTGTGCTGTGATGATCTGAGCCTGAACCTTCACCCAGATGCAGCTCTCCATGGATTGGAGGCAGCTGACATGCATGGCTCCGTCTTCTGTGTTCTTGGCTGCACACGCACACGTCCTTCAGCTATGCTTGGAGTCACCTGGTTTTAAACCGTGGTGCCTTTACCTAAGAAGTTCTGAGCGGTGCCTCTGTCTGTGGCTCCATAACAGCCCTTGAGCTGAACAAATTCCACCCCATAACACAACCTCACTTAGTGTTAGATTGCTTTGGTTCCCACACAGCATCCTTATAAACAACAGTGTTAAAGGTTTGAAATGTAGGACCTATGGAAAAAAGAAAATAATTATTATAATTTGGAAAAGAGAAAATGAGTGACTTTATTGCTTGCAAGAGTGAAGAATCTGAGGTACTGCCTCAGGCCCAGAAAGAGGAAATGTGTTTAACTACACCAGCAGAGATTTGTTTTGAATCAAGGAGAATGGTCTACATCAAGCAATTACACACACTACTGAAAATGATGTAGTGGAAATAGAATTAAAATGCCCATGCCAAGTGCTCCATGGCATCTGATGACACAGCAGAGGAGCCGAAGATATGAAGGTGAATCCAACAACAGCAAAAGTAACAGCTGAAGAAAGTGACTCAGCCCCAGGGAGATCTCATGCACGGCCGAGTTGGAGAAAGATAGATATTAAAGGTGGCGGTATGTGAGTGGACTTGCTTTCAAATAATAAGAGGCCAGTGCGGCAGAAAACTGAACACTGAATCTACTCATTGAGTGTGTTTGGAGACTTTGATAAGGACAGGCACATCAGAGTCTGTCCTTACATTTTGAGCTATGACAATCTGCTGCATGATGTTTTACCAGTGAATAAAAGGAGAGAATACAACAAATAGTCTTTAATTGAAACCAGCCAAGAGAACAATTACACAGAAGGCATTAGCCCAGTGATACAGCATACACAATATGTTCTCCTGGAAACCTGCTCTGTTTCATTGGCCATGGGTGTAGTAGGCTACACAAAATTGTCAGGAGAAAGTCTTCTTTTTTAGAAAGGGCAAAAAAGGGGATCCACTTACTAAAATTTCGTCTTCAATACTGTTTTCCAAATCTTGGTTAGAAAATAATTCAACACATTGGATTAAAGTCCAGCAGCTTGATTATTACACAATCATATGCTTGCCTTTCTTTGATACCTTAGAAATTGAGTCAGTTTAGAGCTACTTATACAATTTCTTTTTGCTATAACTTCTGTTGTAAGGTCTAACAGTAACACATGTAAGAAAAATGAAAAGCCCAAATGAAACAGTTCCTGAGGGATACCTGTAGGTGTGGATGTCCCCACATGGTGACAATTCCTGTGCACATGTCATAAACTAAGTGAGCCTTGACAAGCTGCTACGATGGCACCGGCCTGGTGAGACCGAGTGGCTGCACAAGAGCGTGGAGCTTTTCTCCTCATCTCGCACCACACACGTGCCCTGGGGACCGGCCTCGGGATGAGGCTTGATCTGCTGGTTGCGTCTACCGTTCATAGGCTAAACAGCAAGCAGTCAAACTAGTTGCGATTTGTTGACTTACGCTAATTATTTCAAATCTCAGTAAAGTTGGTACTTTAAGCTGTTTGACACCTGGATCAGATAAACTCTGTGGCAGTTATTGGAGACTTTGTAACAGACATGATCATGGGAGAAATCCCCAATGAACCTCATGTTAACTTACACAGATCGGATCTAAAGGGAAAGGAAGTTATTAGTCAAACACTTGAAGAAAAGAAAAAAAGGACTTGAGAAAGAATTTGAAGAAAAGAGGCCAAGAAAAGAACTTAGGGAGATTCAAGACATAGTGTTCATTTATAAAAGGAAATGGGAATGATTGAGGCTATCCCAAAGCAGCCGAGCCATGGAAGAGGGAAAACAACTTGTAATTGCAGTCCACAAATGGAGAATAACACAGCGCCTTCAGTGTCATCATCAATACCCTTCCTCTGTCACTTCCTCCTCCCAAATGCAGACTCACTGGTGGACAAACACCAGAGATAATTAACTGAACACTCTAATGCCAAACATGAACATGTAAGTTAGCAGGTTTTAGTTACATGTGCACCCAGATTCTCCCACCCTCAAAGTATATGCAAATATCACAGACTCTGGAGACGGGAGAGTTCAAAAGTTGGTAGAGTCAACTTTTAAGGACAGGATATAAAGAAACTGTCTTTTTCAAGTCTTTAAATATCCAGTAATGGTCTTGTATACGTTATATATGTACCTCTCAACACAGGGCATTATGAATAATTATTTAAGAATGCTCTTTTCATATATTACCTTGTTTTCTCCTAATGACAATCCCATGAGATAGCTGGGCAAAGCTACCGTCACTATAACATCGACCACAATACTGACGTTCCCCATATGGTGTGACTTGTTCATGGTCCTGCAACCAGCAAGAGAGATGTCCAGGAGGAACACTCAGGCCTAGGACGCCTTCCATCCCTGTTGTCTTGTTGGCGCCCTGTCTGTTCTTTGGAACACTTTTCTCCATGAATATTAGGACTTAAAATATATTAACATACTAAGAGGGTTGCATATTAGGGATGGCAAGGATAAAGTATAGCAGGATTTTACAGTTGTTCCATTACCAACATAGAAAAACTAATTTTTTAAATGACTATACCATCACTGAAAGTAATATCTTTCCATGGAAAATCACCGAAAACTGATCCTCACAGATCATAATGGATTGCAGCAACTATGGTGAATTCTGACACAGAAATAAGTAATACTTGGGGTTCAGATTTGCTAAATTTTGAGAGTGATTTTGCTAGTTTTTGGTGGGATTTGCTAGTATACCCAGTTTGCTGAGGAACGGACATCCTCTTAGTCTGTTATCTACAGACCAGCAACTACTGACACTATGTCACAGGAAAGTTTCCCAGGGGACTTTTCAGAGACATATATCAAACAAGATGCATGGAAGTGCTGAAAGACACGAGAGGGTAACAGATAACAAGAATAAAAGTAGAAAGGATATCACTGTAAGTTAAAAAAAGTATATAAACTACATAACATTTAATGGTGAATGTAATCACATTTCTGGGGAGCATTTTACCAAAAAAAAAAACCAAAACAAAACAGCTTTGGATATGGTTTCTGATTTTAATAATAGTAAACATCTTTGCCTGGGGGAGAAAAACTCTTGCTTTGTCTTATTGAAGGGTTCCTGTGGCTGTGTTTGTCTTCTCCTGAGCCCTTCCCTACATGTGTGCTTGATTTAAGAAGTCACTTGTGTAAACAAATTAACTGGTATTTTATTAACAAGCAAGACAAGAAAAAGAACCATCTATTGTCCATACATTTTCCTGTTTTTGGAATACAGGAAGCATTTTTTTTCTGTTTGTGTATGTGTTCGGCAAAACTTTGGATATGTTTGAAAATGGCTTTGTCAAAATGTTTATAACCCAGAAAAAATAAAAGTATGCATCTGTTGACAATTTCTTAAACTTTTAAGAACCAAGGGTCACTATTTGGCTTGTATGGAACCATAACATTTGATTTTTCGCCTAAGCAAAATAGACTCTGTGGGCCTATCAAAAGTAATTATTCTAGAAAGCTGAATTGCTCTGGAACTTCACTCTATGCTTCTAACCAGAAACTTTATTCCTGAAACAACAAACAAATAAACAAAAAACAGAAACAGAAGGAATAAACAAGCAGACTCAATCCTGCAAATAAAAGGAGTTATGACCACAGGACCGCCTATTAGATTTCATAGTTGCAGCGGCCAACTGGGAAACGGAGATTCAGATGTGACTTTAACCTGAGTGAATCCTGACCATCTCTCAGGACATGGCCAAGACTGACTGGGCTTCTGCACTGCAATGATTCGGCTTTTTGGCTGGAGAGCTGGGGTTGCTGGAGAAGAAAACTGAAACTCGAGGAGAATTACAAGTCAGGTGACTAAGGCCTGGCCCTTGCTTGGGGGACTGTGGTTTTCACCTTCTTGGCCTCTGACTAACCATGTGGAACTTCCTCTCTGCATCTCAGTTTTTCTTCTTGGTGAAATGAAGAAATATTACTTGACCAGTGTTTTCCAATGTCTTTTAGCAGTTGAAAAACTTTTTGCGATGAAATTATATAGAAAGCCCCAATGCAGACAACAAATGCAGAGGCATTTGCCTGTGGTTGTTGGTGGGAAAGCTGGAGCCCCGCCCACTCAGTCTCCCACAGAGTTCTCAGTACACCGAGGTGTTTCACAAAACTCCTGGTTTCTGCAGAAGACAATGTGAAGATGTTTCAAGTAATTTACAAGGGCCTAAAAATTCTAAAAGTTCAAAAATTTGGAACTTCCTGACCATCTAGAGCTTATAAATACAAAGACACGAGCAAGGGGTACTTTGCTTTAAAATGGCACCAGAACTTTTGCACAGTCTGTTACTTTGAAACAGACTGAAGAAGTAATTTTGAAGAAGTAATTTTTGAAGAAGTAATTTTCAACGATTTGTTAAATGAAATATTTTTAATTCTCCTCAAGGCTTCCGGTCACTGAAGCCAGGTGAACCACCTCCTGAGAGTGCTGATAATGTCCCAAAACAGGTGTGAGATGACATAGGACTTAATAATTATTAATAATTATACCTCTTCCCTGCTCCAACTCCAGAAGGAGTTTGCAAATGAAAGAGAATGGATGCACAAACTGAGTATGAAGAAAAAGGAGTGCTACTCCCCTTGTCTCCTTTTTGGAACTCTGCCAAGTTGGTCCACAGTGGTGGTAAATGGCTTAGAGAGTTGTTCTTTGCATTCTACAAGCAGATAATAGTCTGCTTGGGCACAATCCTAGTTTAAATGAAGAATTTTTAAATTGTAAGTTCCAGAGATTCTCATTTGATAATCATATGCAAGCAGACCCCTCTCACCATTCATTCGCAGTGCTTTCAATCCTTGCCGTGGCCCTGTGAGTCAGGCACTTGGTGTTGGGAGACCTGTGTTCATTTGCAGTGCCTTTCCTTTATTCCCTTTCATGATGGCCGGGGACTTTCTAACTTAAAACATCCTGGCACAAGCCTCACACTGCCTTCTTATGACTGCCCACCATCTATATTCAAAGTCACATGGAAATATGCTGAAGAGTCTTGTGCCTGAAAAAAAGAAATCATATTTTTCATATTCTTAGAAGTAAAACCTTCCTTTGGACTGGTGGAGACATGAGTCATGTTATTATAAATTAACTGTTGAGCACCAGGAATGCAACATAGCTACCAACTGGTTAATTGTCTTTGATGATCAAAATGAAGAGGGTTCCCCCCTTTGACCAGCAGCATTAATATGCCGGGGCATCTGTAGTTTTTGAACGTCTCGTTCAAGAGCAACTCAACTGTGAATTGTAGGGAAAATGTATTGCTGCTTCCTAGAAAGAGCATGGTTTATTCATGTGTTTTCATTCCCTCCTGGTATGGTGTGCATTAAAGAGCATCCAGCAAGGCAGACAACAGTGGAGGGAGAGCTGCAATTTTGCTGCAGTGATTTTTTTGTTAAATAGTCAAAACCTTCCTCTGCTCTGCTCTGCTTGTGTTTTAATACTAGCCAAAGCCTGTTTAAAATACTTGTGGTCAATGTTTATTATACTGTGGTTGCACTATAGTATGTAAAGTGGTTATTAAGTATGGTGGTTATAACTCACTTGAAGAGCCCTAAACCATTTTTACTGGTGTTTTGTTCTGTGTTCCTATTCATAGGATATCAATAACGAGAGTGACAGCTGACATTTCTCTTGCTAAGAGGTCTGTCCTAAATAATCCCAGCAAGAGAGCAATAATTGAACGTTCCAACACTCGGTCCAGCCTAGGTAAGATGTTCAAATGTGGTACTTTTCCAAGCTGTGCTTTCAGACTGATATGACACGTGTTATGTTTGGGGGTGGCTTTTCTAGTTTGCTTCCCATTCTGAATGGGGAAACGCTGGGTACTGGAAGAGAATGCTGCCCATGGAAAAGAAAACAGCGGAGTCCTACAGCAGCCACAGCCTCCTCTATCTCAGCTCTAGTCAATTAGCTAATTAGTAGTCTGGTGGGAAGTATCCTCAGTGGGATCTCCAGTCTGTCATTGCCTAACCATGTGAAGCCACTCACCTCCACTTTGCCCTAGCTTCTCGATGTGGTTAATGATGTCTGTCATACCTGAGTCACAGCTGGCATGAAAAGAAATGAGATGTTCCGCCCTCTCAGGTCTTTAGAAGAAAGCTAGATCTTGATGTTCTTAGTGTTGCTTCTGCTGCTAACTGGGAGTACCCAGAAGAGTCACATCTTAAGTGGAAATAGTAACCACCACTAATAATATGCAGGTTGTTTAAACATGTCTTTCCTGGAACACCAGTTAGAAAACATCTTGAAATTTCCCGAGATGTAGAAGAAAAAAATGCTGGATAGGGTTAGCTCTTTCAAGCCCTGTATGAGCAGGACTGTGGAGGCTGGATTCACCATCCACAGAAGCAAGTCTGTGCTGCTGGTGAATCACAACATGAATATCAAAAGGCTCCTTTCAAGCAGTGTAGGCCACTCACAACTTTCTGGGAGTCTCTTTTGTATTCACATTCTAACGGAAACTTGTTTGACTGCCATTTCCTAATGGGTAGATAGGGTCTTCTGTGCTGTTACATTTCTTTTTAACTACTGAAATGAGTTCAAACATGTCATCAAGAATTCGTTGAAGGCTGTACCAAGAATTGAGCAGGTTGGAAAGAAGCTATAAAGTACCATCTCTATATTCCTGGCATGGAATTGGCACATGGCAATTGATCAGTGAATGTTTGATGGATGCTTTCTGAAAGAATGCTAAACTTACCAAATGAAGTAGGTGTCAGAGCTTGTCCGGGCAGGATCCCAGGCAGCAGTGGTTTCTTTGGTCCTGTATTTAGAACCTTCCACATACAGAATGAAACACTTTGAAAGGCACAATATTTTCACCTTGAGGAGATGATGATGGCAGAGCTGCTGCTGCTGAATCAGATTAGGTAATTGATTAAAATCAAATATCATGGGTGACAAGGACGCCAAATTAAATTAAGGATTTCTCAAATAAGCATCTGGTCTCTGCTCTCCTGTCTTTTCCTCTTCTCTCCTCACAGTGCCTTTGCTTTCTGGTGGATCACGAGAGGCTAACAGATGCTTAAAAGCATAAGCTAGGTTGCTTGACTCTAACCATACACACCAGCCAAGGGTTTCATGAATATTCTTTGAAGTCATCAGCATAATCCAGTCACCTGTTGTCAGAGTCAGTGGAGTGGGTGGGGTGGAGTTAGTGTAAATATTGAGGAAGAAACCACGTCGATGTCAGTTCACTGCTTTTTCCCTTTACTCTGAAAACTCACATACCACAAGTACTGGAGTTAATGGAATGGCGATCTATTATAGTAATCACTGTTTGAGCCACTTCTGTCCATTTGCCTGCTCATTCATGCACATTGGCAGATTCCTTCATCAAATGTTTATTGAACACTTGTTACGTGCCTTGCATTATGCCAGACTTGGGAAGTGTGAAGATGACTAAGACAAGGTATCTTATACACAAGCAAACAGGAAGAAAAAACAGGTGGTTATCATACTGTTTGATTGTGTCTGATTGTGCTTCCAGGGTACTCACTTTGGGAAATGTTGCTTTGAGCCTAGGGAGCCATTGAAGTAGTTAAAGTATTTGGATAGAAAAAAGATCACAGGTGATAGAAAGGCTAGGGAGAGATGGGTTCAGATCAGTCATGGTCAAGTTTGGAAGTGTTTGTTAATATTCCTCCAGCACCATACTCCATGACTTCTCACAGCTCTCTTTATCTGAACTAAAATCATGATGAAACTTCCATTGGAAGCCTTCTGAGAAATCAGCCTGTGTAGTCAAGGTTGTGGGTTTGGTTCAAGTTTTGCTTTAAGAAAATCAGCTGTGCAGATAAACATGCCTTTCTCTTCCTCACACACACAATTTATTTACTGCTTTCTGTATACATATTATCCATATATTAGACTAGCTCTAGTATACAGTGTGGCTCTCTGCAGCCTCCTGCTAGCTCTGTCCAAGTACCTCTCTCTTCATGCCAGAGTGCCCATTGCCCACCAGTTTTGTGCTAGTTAAGCAGGAGGTGTGCCTGCCCTCAGCGCCTGTCAAAATCCACACTGTCCTGATTGCTGGTGCAGAGGAAATAAAGCCCAGGATTTCTGAATTACTTACCTGGGAGACTCAGAGTGCCTGGAAGATTCTTTATACCAGAGCAGTCCAGGTTGTCACTGCTTTTTTGCTACTTCAGAAAATACTGTGTTTGGATTTGAAGCTTAAAGCAATATCGACTTGTCATAGCTTGGTCCAGGCCAGGAGTTACATTAAACCAGTGGAAGCTGAATAAAAACAATAAATGGAGAACATACCCCAACAGCCTGAGGCTGAAATTTACTAATAAGTAAATACAATTTATTTTTTAAACTTCTCTCATAAGAAAAATCTTTTTTAAACTGTTTCTGACATGAGAAAAAAATAGATGTGCTATTATTACTAACAAATGTAGAATGTAATTTTAAAAAATTTTTCAAGTAAGCCTAATTGTCCAAACTTTTTACATTGCCATCCTCAAAGCTAGTCACCTTTCAAAGCAACATGAAATCTTTCAAGCCATTGGTATTAGATAATTTGAAAACAGTAGATATATTGACTCTTTAAATACATCCTTCTAATACAGTGATTTTGTGAAGAATAAGAAGTTTATACTATTAGGCAAAACCACAGAAAATAAAGTTACGTGATAGTTTTGAGCATTCATGTTCCCACACACTCTGTCAATACATTTGATTATCGAAGGAGGCGACACGAACTTGAGTTTATACTGAATAAGCAAAACAAGCCAGGGGATTCTGGTACAAGCCAGGGGATTCTGGTACAGGGAGGATATGTGAGCAGCACTGCCTTCTCCTAGGCCATCTCTGAAGTAATTTAAATGAGATATCTTTAGCTACTCCTTGTAACTTGGATGAGATTACATTGTTAGGTCATACCTGTAGCTCAAAATAAAAAGTAAAAAGCAAACCAAGATCATCTCTCTGAAAATTGTTTGATTCAGACTTTGAACATGACCCAGTAAGTCAGGTGATTTGTAATATATATATATATATATATATACTTAAACATTTTTTTATATTTCAGAAAGCCATATTAGGTTTTATGGAAAATCTGTTTTGCTTTTAAAAGTAGCTGGATTTCTTTAGACATTGACAATAACTAGATTTTTTGTTTGACCAGATTCACTCATAGATTCAAATATCTTGGCTATTATAGCCACCGAATAGATTTGCATCTAGATTCATTACAGCATTTTAATATAATTGGTCTTAGTTTTATTTTAAATAAAACTGAAGATAATTATGCCTCAGAACAGTCCATTGGCCCTAATACTTAGGTTGAGACTTAGCAATATCCTAGTTACAAGGTTAGACCCAGAATGTTTAACCAGGGGTCCAAAAGCATGCACATCAGTCAACACAGGTGAGTTGTGAGGTTTTTTTAAAAGATACCCATAAAATATTAATATACAAGTTGTTCATTGGTAGAAATATTTTTCCTAAATGTGGTTTCAGCTTCTATAGCCAAAATAAAAGTTCTTGAGACAAAGCAACAATTGAAAATAACATAGCTATGTCAGTAGATAAATATTAGGGTGAATGTGAGACATAATCAAGAGAGCCATCTCAAATTTTCCACCAACTGGTTTTATGCAAAATTCAACCCACTTCTCTCTCTTTAGACAAAAAATCTTAAGTTAGATCAGAATATGTAAATTTTAAATGTTCTGTGTTCCAATGTAGACAAACATCGGAAAGGGCTACTATATTTTTTAAATATAAGAACTAATTAATGAAAACTAATTGTTATTAATTTACTTGTTATTTATTATTTCTCCTTTTAGCGGAAGTACAAAGTGAAATTGAAAGAATCTTTGAGTTGGCAAGATCTTTGCAACTGGTTGTTCTCGATGCAGACACCATCAATCACCCCGCACAACTTATAAAGACTTCCTTAGCGCCAATTATCGTTCATGTGAAAGTCTCGTCTCCCAAGGTAATTACATCTCTAGCTTAAGAATTAGCAGCTCATTTTATTTTGCTCTGCTTTTCTATTAGTGGGCAAGGAGAACGCCCTGTTTAGACCCCTTTTAATGAGCACAGGTTTGAATTCCCACAGTTTGTAAAGATTCTAGAAATTCTGACGTAGCAAATTAAATTCCTTCAAAAAGCTCACAGTCTATTGTGGTTCCCTAACCAGGCAGTTTTGTAAGAATATAATGGAAACAATAAATTAAGACAGGTGAGGAAAAGTAACCTCTGGCTTTTCAGAGACTTTAGGTTTAATTTTGGTAAATTTCTTGGGTAATGTTGATTATTATATCATCTATATTTTCTCCCCAGTTAAGAGGGCATGTAATTCAAACAAGGTATCTAGATTTATCACACATGAAGTCATACATCACTGTATAAAATCTCTTATGGAAACATTTTAGACCCTTACATTTGTGCTTAGGTTGGGTTCATTGAGGAATATAGTTATTCTGTGATTAAGCACATATGTTATTTTCCAGGCGTCTTCATGCCACCAGGGGAAAGAAAATGAAAGTGCGGCTGCCTCAGATTGGTCATTTTTTATTTGTGTTTTCTTTAATTTTTAAAGACTATTGATGTTGAAAAAGTTCATATGAAATATGAGGTCTATCCAGAAAGTATCCCACCATGTACCATGAAAAATAGAAACATTTATTGAAGAAGATACAAGGTACAAGAAACATTGTACACAAGACAGTGACACCTCAGTCCCCTTCAGAGAAGGCACCTTGGGACCTCACACTGTTCTCCCAGTCACCATCAGCTACACCGTCATGTTTTCCTAAATCTCATCAACAATCCGGAATCTCTTCCCTAGCAAAGGTGGTTTTAGTTTGGGGAAAAGCCAGAAGTCACAGGGGGCCCAATTTGGGATGTAGAGGGGCTGAGTCATCAGGGTGACCTGATGCTTCTCAAAAACACTCTGAATGAGACATGATGTATGAGTGGGCGCATTATCGTGATGAAACTGCCAGTCATCACTTTCCCATAGCTGTGGCCTTCTGAGTCATCTGAATAGTTTTTGCAGAGGAATGTTCAAGCCTAATGCAAAATTTGATGCAGATTTGTTGTTCTATTTGCTCAGTCATTTTGAATATGATGGCCACAAAATACACATACAGACTCAATCAGGTCTACTGCCCCCACTGACTAGAACAGTGAAGTCGTCATTGTTCATTCATGTGCACTCCAGTCCACTCTCCTTGGCTGCCAGGTTACATTAGTGTCACCCAAACCATTCTCATTATATTAAGAATGGCTGGACTTTTTTTAGACAGACTCCGTATGTACCCTTAGGAGATAATACCTTAATAATCAATGCTTTTCAGTGACTCTAACAGTACATTTTAATACTTAAATGCCAATTCAACTTCCAACCAGAACAGTAGTCCCCTGTCATGGGTGGAGAATACCTACAGAAGCTGTGCCTCCACAGCCCCTCTGTTGTCCTCGACCTTCCATTCTGGCACTGGTTCTGCACAGGATGAATTTGGGAATCCTGACCAAAACCAGGACCTTTTGGGAATCATTAGAATGGACAGAAGTTGCTTTAACTACCTGGAGGTCTCTATGAAGGGGACCGAAGGGGATTCAAACACCCTTTACTGCAATGATTTCAACCCCTCTCAGCCCCTGCCCTAGTCACCATGAGGTTCATAAGTACAGGAACTGGGGTTCTTATATCTGCTTGAGGTATCACAGAGCCTCATACATTAGCACCGGTTTTGGGAGAGTATGCTGTTCCAGCTAAAAAGAAACTAAGGAAAAGGGCAGTGTATGGCAAAATGCAGTTACAGGAGTTCCCAAAACACAGATGTATCACTGGTTTATATGTGGCAGTATACCAGTACAAATGTTTTGCTTAGATTCTATCATGAAATCATCTTATTAATGTAAAATTAAACTGGAATGTTTAATTTTTAGGAATAATGTTTAATTATTGGGATAATTATCAGTGACAAAAGAACCAGATGTATAATTAAATGTGATATTTATCTTACATTTAGGTAGTGAACCAAAATATTACTCCTGAATAACTGAATTTGGACATAATGACCTGGTCCAGTTTAGTTCCTCTATTTTGCAGGGCTGTCTTTGCAATTTCTGGGTAAAATGTAGGGGTCGGGGGGGACTAGATTCCACCAAGGACTCACATGGAGTGAGAACAGGAAGAACACACCAAATGCACTCTAACTGAAAGCCAGTGTAAGTGGATGATGTCATTACAGAGTTTATATATGATTTATCACATTGCGTTTTCTCACTATTAATACTCAGTGCTAAACAGACTATAAAAGGGGCCTGGGTTTATTCAGTTTTCTTCAGCTCATTGATAGCATCTCAGATTCATGTCTTCTTCTATCAGGTTTTACAGCGGCTGATTAAATCCAGAGGAAAGTCCCAAAGTAAACACTTGAATGTGCAACTGGTGGCAGCTGACAAGCTTGCACAGTGCCCCCCAGTAAGTACAATCATTTTTGTCTTAATTATTCTTGACTCATTAGGAGAGGGGGTAATTTTTTCATATTAGCTTTGTCATTTTTATTCTAGAATGATGGTGAAGATGAAATGTTGTCATAAATCTAATGGATTTCTTGAAATAAATGTGTGCTATCATGTTGGCTATCTGCAGGCATCCAGAACTGGTGGTGTCTGCCATGTAATAAAAAATGAAGTTCGTTAATCCAGTCATGTGGAACTTTTATGAAATGAAAAAAAAACATACTGATCTGATTTTCTTTCACTTTTCTGTCTGAAAGTCCTGATAGGTATAAAAGATTATGACTTTGGTGGTTGAGAATTTATTGGAACTAGAAGAGCCCTGTGGAGATAGCAGGTGAAGAGCTCAGGGTTAAGTAAGGTGAAAAGACATGTTATAGCAACTTTTTCCCCAGTGCCGTTGCCAGGAAATTAGCTGCTGGGTTGGGAGCCAAGCAAATGGTGGGAGGTGGGTGGGTGGGGGAAGGTAACCACTATCACGTGGGTGGGTCACCAGTGACTGATCAGTGTCTACACCTGCCCAGCTGACTTACTGTTTCTGCCTGTGTTTCTCTAAAGGAAATAACTGTTGTTTTTCTACTGATTTGAACACTAAATTTATACTTGTATAAAGATTGTTTATGCTCTGTGAAAGCATAAAATTCAATTCAGATGGTTACAAAGACAACAGTTAAAGGAGGATAACTGTTAAAGGAGGGGAATGTGGGTGGGAGAGGGTGTGCAGGGTGGAGGGGAATGAAAGGGGGGAATGGGACAACTGTAATAGCATAATCAATAAAATATATTTTTAAAAAAGTATAGACTCTGGAGCCAGACTGCCTGAGTTCAAATCCATGCTAGGGATTGCACCCCTACTTATGTAATCTTCAGCATGTACCTACCTTATTGGGTTTGTATAGACTTAATGAGTGAATATATGCTAAAGCTCTTAGAACAGTGGCTGGTACGTAATAAGTACCATCTAAGTGTTTCTGCTATAATAACTAGATATACTTGTGCTATACTATGCCTAACCTGTCAGGCTCCCTAAGGATCTGTGTCTGTCTGGTTTACTGTTGTATCTCAAACTCCTATCATAGTAGGCCCACAATAAGTATTTAGTGAATGAATGAAAGGATGTACAGGCAATGAGTAATAATGCATCCTTTTACTAGATGCTTACAATGGGCCAGATGCCATGCTAGATGTTTTATGTAGATTATCTCTAATCCTCAGTTACCTAGTAAGATAAGTAATATTATCCCCATTATATAGTTGAGGCAACTGAAGACAAGAGGTGAAATGACTCCTCTGAGGTCAAAGCAAATAAGGATTAGATTTATGATTTATCTGGCTCTAAAACCAGTTTCCTCCCCTTAAAACCCCACCCTACTACTACACACACACACACCACACATCTTATTACCTACCTACAGATAGTTAATTTGGATAGCTTGGAGTCTGGAGTGCTATGTTAAGAAGTCTGACTTCACATTGTCTACTAATGAAGTCCACTTATATAATGGATTATATAATTGAAGCACTGAGCAAATATAGAAGAACATATTACCCAGTTGAAGGACACTAACCTTTATTGATCAACTACCAAGAGCCAGGAACTATTATTGTTTTCAATTTTTAGAATGGTCTTCTATGGATAGTTATGTCAGTTAGCGTCTTCTGGGAAGCAGAGAAATAGATGAAATTAGAAATGCAGATTTAATGGAAAAAATACCAGTGAGAGATGTATGGGAACTGGCAGGAAGGGCCTTGAGACCTGCTTCAGGCCTGACACTGTGAAAGGAGGGTGGGAAGGAAGGAGAATGAGTAGGAGGAGCCTCAGATTATGATGCAGCTTTAAGAAAATCTCAGTTGTTTACATGGGGATCCCCAGAGAAAAGATTGCCCATTAGAGGAGTCTCGTGTTGGGCAGAAATGTCCAGGCTCCAATCCTGGCTCTGTGCTCAGGCATTGACAGGGAGTAGCCTGGGGAAGGCATGGCCTCAGCTTGAACACTGTGGTGGATACTGAGGGTACAGCAACCCAAGTCTGTCTGCTGCCTACACTCATCACAGCAGACTTTCACTCAAGGGGAAATCTGAGCGCACACCTCTATGACTGCCCTAGTAAATAATGGTATCCTTCCTTTCTAGAGGAGAAAGTAAGTCCCTGGTTAAGAAACCTGCTGGAGGTAGGAGTTAGTAAATGAGCTCCAGGATTCAAACCTAGATCTATCTGAGTCCAACAAACTTCTGTCCACTATGCCACTCCACCTCTACATAGAGTTGTGTAGTGTAAATGAACCTCTGGTCCCAAACTTAGCCATGCAAGAAATAGTACATTTTATATTTAGACCCCCACTCCACTAGGCAGGCAGGATATTTAGCTATGCTTACAGCCACATTTACCCTAACCAAGAGCAGAACAAAGACCCTAAGTTGTAAAGGTAAAGTTGGTGAGGAAATTGACGGAATGAGGAGGAGAGTTCCAATTCAGAAAACCATTTGCCACGCCCACCTTAGGGGTGGGTGTACTGCTGTATCAAACCTTGTGGAACAGGGGATCTTTGTAAGGCAGGGAGATACATAGCCCTCATCTCTGGAACATTGCAAAGGAGCTCCCTTCCTTCTCTGTCTGATGGAGAGGAGGTGTCTTCCTCTTTTCCCCTCTTGTTGCTATTAAAGGAACTTCCTCTAAGCTTTGATTGTACTAAAAGCATCCCCACTTTCATTTCCAGAGGTAGTTAGTAAAATCTCTCCAGCCAATTTGGGCTTTTGGGAAATAAAACCCAGGAGGGGAAATGGAAAGCTGGCAATTTCCTGCCACAGTCTCCATCCCCCAACTTCCACCTCTTCCTCCACTACTTCCCAGACAAGGGAGAACAGACCCTGCCACCTATTTGAATGATAGAAAAGAACAGGGAATATGGTAGACAAGAACAGGGGAAATGGTAGACAAGAACAGGGGAAATGGTAGACAAGAACAGGAAAAACACAGGTTAGTTTCTCAAAACTTGTTTGCCACGTGTGTTTTCACAGATGTAGAGGTCTACACTATGAAGGCAGTGAATTCTGTGAGGTCCCAGAGATGGTGCTAAGATCAGTGGGAGGGATTTCCAGTCAAAATGGCAGCACAGGTAAACATGGCTTGCCTCCTCACAAACCACATCAAAATACAGAACAACCATCACTCAAAACTCTCAGAAATTGAGTTCAGTGGAAGTCTGACAACTACGGATTTAAAGAAACCACATCTATCCAGACTGTCAGGAGAGGTGGAGTCTTGGATTTGCTAGTCCCTCGCCCACGTGTGGTGGATAAAAATTTGGGAGAAATCTCTCAGAGGCGAGGAGTCACAGCCTCACACCAGGCCCCCCAGGTCAGGGTTCCAGTGCCAGGAAGATAAGTGCCTATAACTTTTGGCTGCAAACGCCAGTGGGGATTGAGTGGGTAGAAGAAACTTCTGGATTCACAAGCAGTTCCTCTTAAAGAACCCACATAAAGACTTACTCAGACTCACTTCCTCTGAGCTCCAGCACTGGGGTAGCAGCTTGAAAGGTACCAGTGGCATACAGGGAAGAACTGAAGTGTCTGGCATCAAGGCAAGAGCTGGGGGATACCTTTTTCCTAGAGAGAAAGGCAGGCAGAGGCCATTGTCCATTTTCTGAACCTTACCCCACAGAGCCACAGAGCCAGCAGGTGCGAGCCATATCTGAGACTCAACTTGGCTGGCACTGTCTGCCCTGCCCAGGAGATTCCCTGAGACTCTGTCCCACCCAACTTTCAGGCCCACCAAAACTGTAACAGTAACTTTTCCATGTGAATGGCTGGTCTTGGCTCATGTTTCAGAGCTTCCGAAATCCTATCAAATAACAGCCAGCCTCAGTAAGCCCCCAGCTCCTGTACCCCTTGGCAGGTGGGCACAGGCCTGGCACTAGCAGCTGCCAGCCTAGATTAACAGTTTGGCTTTGCCTGCAAATCTCCAAGCTCAGCACAAGGAGGAGCCATCTCAGATTGCTTTATAGCTCAGGCAGGGTGACCCCAGGCAGGACATAGATAGGTAGTAACCTTGGCCTGCCCCCCACACAAAACTCCAGGGCCTGTGCACCCAGTGGACAACTACTGACCACACTGAAGCACCACCACCCTGCCCCTGCATAGCTGATCCCCCACAGAGGGTGGAGATTTTTGGTCAGAGGTAGCAGCCAGTCCTTTAAGCTAACTGGCCTGGCAAATCCATCCCATTGAACTGTGAACAGCAGTCAAGGCTCAACTACAAGGGGAATGTATACTCAGCCCACACAAAAGGTGCACCTTGAGCACTCAGCTTGGGTAGTAGGGGAGGCTATGCCACTGGACCCTACAGGACATCTACATTAGACCACACTACCATGACAGGGAGTCATAGCAGCTCTACCTAATACATAGAAACAAACACAGGAGGCTGCCAAAATGATAAAACAAAGAAACATGACCCAAATGAAAGAACAGATCAAAACTCCAGAAAAAGAACTAAATGAAATAGAGATAAGCATTCTATCAGATGCAGAGTTCAAAACACTGGTTATAAGGATGCTCAAGGAACTTAAGTAAGGACCTCAACAGCATAAAAAAGATCCAGTCAAAAATGAGGATGCACTAATTGAAATAAGGAACAATTTACAGGGAAACAACTGTAGAATGAATGAAGCCAAGAATCAAATCAATGATTTGGAACGTAAGGAAGCAAAAAACAATCAATGAGAACAACGAGAAGAACAAAGAATCCAAAAAAATGAGGATAGTGTAAGCAGCCTCTGGGACAACTTCAAGAGGTCCAACATTCACATCATAGGGGTGCCAGAAGGAGAAGAGAAAGAACAAGAAATTGGAAATCTACTTGAAAAAATAATGAAAGAAAATTTCCCCAACTTGGTGAAGGAACTAAACATGCAAGTCCAGGAAGCACTGAGAATCCCAAACAAGATGGATGCAAAGAGGCCCA